AAAGAAAAGAAAAGGAAAATAAATGGATAGACTGAATAGTGAGGCTAAATCAAGCCACACAAGACAGACTTGGATATGAGGTCCTCTGCCTCTTTTGCCTCCCTCCAAGCAGAGTATACTATGGTCCAGTGTTGAATTCTACCTGCACGCCTGAGTAAGTGAACTGCTCCCTTCCTGATGGATCAGCCAGTTGATTTTTCTTTACTTTACCTCTCTTTCCTTTAGTGTACCAGAAAGCTCAGTGGAACATCTAGGTACGAGATGAAATACTACAGGAGCCCATAGTGAACGGCAGACCAAATCCTTCCTCCATGATCTGTGATTAGAGGGACATGGATGTTAGACACTCTGTGCTAGAAGACTGAGCAGCCTGTGACAGCAACCGCCAGAGTGGAGGGGTAAGACGGCATCTTAGCAACCCACCTGACACTGAAACAAATGACCTGAGAAGACAAGAGAGTTGTCAGGGGAAGTGGAACACAGGATGCTGTGCAAGGGCGAGGAGGGGACAACTACACGAGAGTGGGAGCGTGTTTCTGTGAGAGTAGCATAGAAATTGGGAGAGAAATTCTGACAGAAACAGAGTAAGGAATGAGCAAGCTGTTAAGAGACATACACAAAGCAGCATCTTTGTGAATGAACGCTCTGGCACCAGCACCCCACATCTGATGGCCAAGATCAGCCCCACATTCTGTAAATACTGTACTGCAGATTCCAAAGTGTTACTCAGTAGTTTTGGGCTCTCATGGATACCAGCTGAACTGTATTTATTACTGTTTGTTTCTTCTTTCCTTGCTGGTTTGATTCATGTACTTCCCCTTTTTAAACTTTTCTATCTATATATTTGTTCCTATTTGTCTTCTTTCTCCCTTTACTCAAATATCTCTCTTGATTTAATAATATTTTTAATAATATTTTTGAGGGACTGGGGAGATGGCTCAGTGGAATAAGCACTTCCCTGGCAAGCACAAGGGCCTGAGTTCAATCCCTGGTTCCAAAAAAAAAAAAAAAAAAATCTCTCTAATCTTTCTGGTTATCTTTGATAATCTATTGCTTACTCTTTCATGTTTTCTTTTCTACCCTCCACTCTATTTTTCCCAAAGCATACATGACTGTCTTTTGTCACCTAGCCTTGCTTTTACTATATTTCTCTTCAGATATCTCTGCTTTATCCACTATCCCCCTTAAATTTCCCCACCACAGAGTAAAGACAGTGTACCAAGGGGGATACATTCTGCATTCAAGCTCCCAATTTATTTATTTATTTATTATTATTTTGAGGGGACTGGCTCAGGCTGCCTTAAGGGCAGGTCTTGTAAGGCATGTGGAACTGGGGATCAAACCATGGTTCCCCTGGGCCTGAGTTTGCCCAAGCAGACACTTGAACAACTGAGCTAACCCGCAAACCCCCCTAAGTTCCCAATTTATGATGGGTTCTGTTATGTAACTCTAGGTATTGCTCCTTTGGTTAAAGTTACCAAATTAACCGTAATTAGCTACAGTTTGTCACTTTCTAAGCTCTAGTTGATAGACCATCAGATGTGTAATCTGGAAGGGTTTATTCTTGTCCACAGTTCTTCCCTTCTCTTTCTGCTTCCTGGCTTCCATGGGTTGCGCAAGATCTGTCATCTGATTTCTCCTTTGGATATATGAACCACAGACTAGAACCATGAACCAAACAAACCTCTTTTTCTTTAAGTTTTTGGTGTCAAATATTGTGTCCAGTGATGAAAAATAGGCTGAGACAATAGTGAAAGTTGCTGCTGAGGGTCATCCAATATTCAATGAATCTGGCCCCATAGAACTTTTCACTCTTCCCCCAAGTGAAAAGTAAAATAAAATGTAAATATTTGAATGGACTCAGTACATTGAAACAGCCACAACAGAATAAACAAAGACACCTAGGAAAGAAGAGGAAAATGATGGGAAACACGTGTTTGAAATTTCTGTCTGTTGTCTGCCAAGGATTTTTTTTTTAAGTCTGATGAATAATTTTATTTATTTATTTATTTATTTATTTATTTATTTATTTTTTGCGGAACCGGGGATTGAACTCAGGCCCTTGTGCTTGCCAGGGAAGGGCTTATTCCACTGAGCGATCTCCCAGGCATGCCAAGGATTTGAATGATACAGCAAGCATCAGTTTCCCCGAATTTGTCCTGATTAAGTTCTACGGTCTAGGGCAAGTATTTTTACTTTTCACCAAAATATGGCTATATAAAACAAAAACCTGGGGTCCGGGTAGATAGCTCAGTAGAATAAGCGCTTCCCTGGCAAGCGCAAGGGCTTGAGTTCAAACCCCACAACTCTCCAGCCAGCCAAACCAGCCATGAGGGCATTCGAAAAAAAAAAAAAAAAAAAAAAAAACTTTTTAAAAATCGAATTCTCTTACTTATATGTGCCCCAGCCCATTTCTTTCACCTTCTCTAATAACCACATGCCTTCCCTTTTCAGGGACTTAGCTCCCACATACTTCAGTCAGAAATAATCTCATTTCATTTAGTTTATTTATAATAATCTTTTACATAGGATTTCATATTCTCAGGAATACCTCGTTAATAGTCCAGAATTGATCTCTGGTGTATTGTCTCTTAAACACTGCACACTTTATTCTTCATAAAAAGCAAAACAGAAAAAATGTTTTCCTCCCCAGGAGACTATATACCCAACAGAGGAGGTGTCTGTGTTTTCCTCACAGCTGTAACCATCTCCAATGGTTACATCTTCACATGTCTGAGAAATGAAAAATTACTAAGTGGATCATCATTTGTGAACTGGGGTCAATGGATGATTGTCTCATTTGCTGGTTTGGAGCAGATTTTGTGTTCTGAGGTGGAGATAATAAAAACTAATCTCGGGCCAGGGAGATGGCTCAGTAGAATAAGCACTTGGCTGGCAAGTGCAAGGACATGAGTTCAATCCCAGGTTCTGCAAAAAAAAGAAAAAAAACTAATCTCTATTACATAATTCCTGACAGAGGCAAATGTCAAGTTATTCTAGTGTCCATTTATGCTTTTGATGTTTTTCTTTTAAAGATATTCAATTGTGAAAATTGAGCAGCAGCTGCACTTGGAGGGCTGCTAACTTAATGCTATTTCATACAGTACCAATTAAGCCTGTTTCATTCAGCTGTTATTTCTAATACAATGTGACAGGGGGGCCTGCCCCTTAGCTCAGTTCTTTAAGTGGCTGCTTCAACAAAGCAGTCAGGCTCAGGTTGCTGTGGTCCCCACAACTCAAGTCAGCCAAACCTGCCCTGAAGGCACTTGGAGCAGAAAATAAAAATCCTTCTAACACAATGTGACATATAATGCATTTTACTACACGGAACACTTCAGACACTGTTCTACATTCAGGGGTTTTAGCATTATATACTTTATCTTATGTAAGTCATGGTTAAAATTGTCTATTTCATAGGGGCCAGGGAGATGGCTCAGTGGAATAAGCACTTCCCTGGCAAGCGCAAGGGCCTGAGTTTAATTCCCAGTTCCACCAAAAATAAAAAAATAAAATAAAATTGTTTATTTCCTGTGGTTTAATAGCCATTCATGTAAGAAATCTTGGGCTGGTGAGATGGCTCAGTGGTCTAAAGCACCTACTTAGAACAAGCATAGCAAAGCACAGGGACCGCGGTTCAATCCCCCAGCACCACATGCCAGCCAGCCCCGCCCCCTGGTGGGCTGAGCTGGTCACACACACACACACACACACACACACATAAATATATATATATTAAAAAAAAGAAAAAGAAATCTTTGCCCTCAATTTTTTAATTGTCTCTTAAGTTTTTTTACAAGTTTTGAAACTTTTTGCAACATATAAGCCAGTGAATCTTCTGTTATAAAATAACCATGATACATGATAAGAAATGATTTAAAAGCTGACTCATCATCTTATGACCGTTATCTGTTTCGGTTTTTTTTTGGGGGGGGCAGAACCAGAGATTGAACTCAGGCCCTTGCATTTGTGAGGGAAGCATTTATTCGACTGAGCCATCTCCCTGGCCCCAACCATCTCCCCGGCCCCTGTATCTGTTTCAACTCTGGATAATTATATTTAATCATAAAGTTTCTGGAAGATGGGTTAAATGATGAAAAAATGGGCTGCCATGAACACACCCTTTATTTTTTATTTTTATTTATTTATTTATTTTTGAGGTACTGGGGACTGAACTCAGGACCTTGTACTCGCCAGGAAAACATTTATTCTACTGATCTATCTCCCCGGGCTGATCACACCCTTTAATTTCATTTTCAAACTGGTGCTTCATTCTACTGAGATCTTGGATGTTGTCTTTTGATAAGTACATGGGTAATTGTCTATAGATAGCTGAACTGCTTCTCCCTCTAACATCACTTTGCGAGGTCTACATTCATAAATTTCCTTTGCATTTTCACTATAGCATTAAGAATTTCTTTTAAATCCATGAATCCATAGAATGGGAGACAATTAGCCATTCCTCCTATTTCCAAGTAGTTTTCAGTCGTAGAAACTCCTGGCATAAATTTTATTTAAAAATATGGAATGCGTCACGAATTTGGATGTCACCCTTGCACAGGGCCATGCTAATCTTCTCTGCATCGTCCCAATTTTATAGTCTATGTGCTGCCGAACAGAGCAAGCTCAATTGTTTTTTCAAGATTTAAATTTTTATCCAGTTTTTAAAATTTTCTGACATATTTATGCTTCTAGATGAGACTAATTTTGCCTAGTTCCGAAACCACTTCTTTTGGGATTTTAATTGGGATTAAATTAAAGATTTGATAGGGAATGAATTTATCTAATTTTCATGTTTTTGAGGCCAGGGAGATGGCTCAGGAGATTAAGCACTTGCCTGCAAGCGCAAGGTTCAGAGTTCAAACCCCAGTTCTGCCAAAAAAAATTAATCTTTTTTTCTTTTATATTCGATTCTGCATTTGTATCTCTACTAGTATTTCATGGATTCCTCCACAATGATCTTCTCAATTTTTTCTTGATGCTACTTTATGTCCTTGTTGCTATTGTATATTTTTTCTATTGTCATTACCTTTGAATTGGTTGCTATAATCAGATTTTATTTTTTTGCAGAACCAGGGATTGAACTCAGACTGAACCAGGGATTGCCTTGTGTTTGCCAGGCAAGCTCTTATTCTACTGAGCCATCTCCCCTCCTATAATCAGATTTTGATTCTATTATACTGAATCTATTCATTAGTTTTGACAGTTCTTGATTAGTCTTAATATAAGAACTCTCATAATTAACATAATTTCATCCCTCTTAATAGCGATGGTTTTTTAATATCAACTACACTGCGTTATGTGTACTATCCAGCACCTTTCCTAATGGTTCTCCTTTAGGAATGCTATTTATGATGAAACTTAAGGGAATTTATTACCTGTCCTAAATTTTCTGTGCAGTTTAAAATAGTTTTGAGTTTTACCAAGTTCTTTCTGTTCTCTTTATACAGAAACAGTTCTTGAAATTGAGTTACTGGGGCTGGAGAGATGGCTCAGTGGTCTAAAGCACCTACTTAGAACAAGCTTAGCAACGCATCAGGGACCACGGTTCAATCCCCCAGCACATGCCAGCCAGCCTCGCCCCCTGGTGGGCTGAGCTGGCCACACACACACCACTCTCTCTCTCTCTCTCTCTCAAATAAATAATAAATTAAAAAAAAGAAATTGAGTTACTGGTATTGCTTTCTAAATATTGTACTTTTATCTTTGTTCCACATTTTGATGTGTAATGTTATTTTATGAGTTTTGAAGCTAAATGCCTACTGAATTTTATTAAAATGATATTTAAGGCTATAGGTTTGACAGTATTTTTGCCTATTAAACCTGAATGATAATTATCAGAAAACATGACAATTGGCATCAGGAACAATATTTTTTTCTCAATGTAAGTGAAGGAATCTATAGTATTGTGTTGATATGAAGTTTATAATCTTAGATTAGCAAAGATAGGAACAGGCTGGGGAGCTTGCTCAGTGGTCTAAGCACCTGCCTGGCAAGCTAAGGAACTGAGTTCGATCACCAGTACCATATGCCATGCAGCAGTGCTGGCCACTGAAACTGGACATGGTGGTACAGGTCTATAATCCCAGCACTGGGGAGTTTGAGACAGGATGATCACTAGGAGTTTAAGCTGTGTAGTGAGACCCTGTACCAAATAAATAAATAAATATTTTTTTAAAAGAGAACATGAGGGGCCAGGGAGATGGTTCAGTGGAATAAGCACTTCCCTGGGAAGCACAAGGGCCTGAGTTCAATCCCCGGTTCCGCCCAAAAAAAATATGAATTCCTTAAATATCAATACATCTTACCCAAGATTATTCCATGGTGAACTGTTATAGCTCTTGATATTTTTTAAAGAAAAAAATTAAATATTTTAAACTAATATGGACCTAACAGCTCTTCATATGTAGTTAAACATATAAGATGGGACAATTATAAGATATATGCACGATAGTAATATTATATCAAAAGTGGGTAAACGGAAGAGAATTAAAATTGTTAAGTTTAGATCTGTTGCAAGGACACAGAAGCTAAGTAAGTAACAGCAATTTTCACAGTAAGTCACTTCAAGAGAAGAAAATTTAAAAATGGTTGAGTTCATTAAAATTTATTATGTTTTAAAATTCATGCAACCTAAATACTTATAGCACTCATTATCTATAGTTTGTGTCTTCCACAATACAAAGATCAGTGAGAAAGAATAACTGCATGAATGAGTAATAATTGCTCATGAAAATTTTTCACATGAAGATACATTCAACAAGAACAAAGACAAAATTTGAGTTTAGGAAAGAACAATTTTAAGAGATTTGACAGCTTTTCTATAAAAATGTCAAAATTAATTTAGATAGTTTAATTTTTCAGCATGCTCTACATAGGACTTCATGAATAGTATTTTTTTAATACTGGGCATCGAAATCAGGACCTTGCACTTGCCAGGCAGACACTTACGCTGCTTGCTGAGCTACCTCCCCAGCATGAGTAGCATTTTTAAGTAAGTATAGTTAACTGAATTGTCAGGTTGTTAGCTGATGTAGTCATACTGCTTTCAGAACTCTGAACCACATAAAATAAAAAGAAAAAAAATGATTATTCAATGTCAGGTTCAAATAACAAGCAATATAAACTAAACTAAAATTTGTCAGTTGTTTGTAGTAGTTAATTTTTGTAGCTTTCTTTTTTATTAGAAACAATAGACCACATGCATTAGTAGATATTTTGGGTATTGTATATCTCATCTTTAATACTGAAGTCATACTGTAAATCTCCAACTTCTTATCACCAAAGATACTCTCATCTGCTGTCTCATTCTTGACAGATTTTGGTCTCAACAATAAATTCATTGGGGAAGTGTCTAATCTTCCAGCACTTATCAATGGCACGCTCATTGAAACCTGGGAGGAAATGTACAAAAAAGTGGTTATTGAACTTTTGTTGTATATGAAAAAGTACATAAATTTGCTCCCCACTTTTCCTTGCACTCTTATTCTTGCGCTCTTCTATCATCCCAATAGCAAAACAAATGAAGGAATGAACTGCTTACCTAGCAAGAGGTCTCTCCGTCGAAGGCGGAAGGATTTTCTGTTTTTGCAAAGTTGATAAATAAAGGTGCCTAGATTACTAACATCACGAATTTCTTCAACAGCAACCAGGTCTTCACGAACCACAAAAGTATGAAGCAAATATTTTCCCCTCTTTAAATAAAAAAAAAAAATGGAATGAAAACTTAAAGATATGTTAAGTTGCTATCAATAAAATGTACAATTTAAAAATATATTTCACTTTAAAGAAATTTTAGATTCACAGCATGTTTATTACTTCATTTTCTTGATTGACACGTAAATATTAATGAATGTTAAACAGATGTCCACATTCATACAGTGTGGACTGATCAAGTCCAAATTCATTTGATCCACTGGCCCCTACTCCCCTTCCAACTTTCATTAATATTTATAACTATTCTGTATTAAATTGGTTGGTTTTTAACTTTCACATATAAAAGAGAACAAAAGGGGCCGGGGAGATGGCTCAGTGGAATAAGCACTTCCCTGACAAGTGCAAGGGCCTGAGTTCAATCCCTGGTTCCGCAAAAAAAAAGAACAAAAGTATCTGTCTTTCTGTCTGGCATACTTTAACATAATGTCCTCCAGTTCCTCCCATTTTGCTAGATCAAACTTTTTATTCAAAAATTATTTCATAAATCAGGATGATATGTTTACAAACATTGTACTATCTCACTAAGTATGAGAAAAATGAACAAGTAAATAAGATCTAAAATGTACAGTAAGGGGCCGGGGAGATGGCTCAGTGGAATAAGCAATTCTCTGGCAAGCGCAAGGTCCTGAGTTCAATCCCTGGTTCCACAAAAAATAAAATAAAATAAAATGTACAGTAGTTATAATGAATTGGGGAAGAAACTATTCAAAAGAAAAGACAAACTGATGAGGGAAAGTGGAAAATAAAGAAAATATAGGGCTGGAGAGATGGCTCAGTGGTCTAGAGCACCTACTTGGAACAAGCTTGGCAAGGCACAGGGACAGAGGTTTAATCCCCCAGCACCACATGCCAGCCAGCCCCGCCCCCTGGTGGGCTGAGCTGGCCACACACACACACACACACACACACACAATGAATAAATAAATAAATAAAAATTTTAAAAAAGATTCTGCTTTCTTTAAAGAAAAAAGAAAATATATATGTAACACAAAATAGTTATACAGCTAGTTTTGTCTAGTTCGTTGAAAACATTGTGTCCTTTTATTGATTGGATAAGTTATCATACCTGTATCTTGTACTATGAATAAGTACTATAAAGACAACAGTATGCAAAGTATCAACTACTAACTGTCCTACTAACCTGTTTGAAAAATCAGTTATGTTTATCTTTTTCTCTTTAAAATTAAAATACATTATTTCAAAGAAATGAGGTATTTTGGCTGAATTCATTAATTTTTCAGAATTAGGAAGCAAAATAATTTAGAAATGCTCCTAGAAAAAACTGCCCTTCAAAATACATACTGCAAGATTGCCAAAGAGCTCCACCAGATTCTTTGGGGGCATAACAATGGAGGTATTCAAGGGCATCAGATAGCAGGTCCCCAGGAACATGTCTAGGTAAGCAGTCATTCCCTGTTGAGGAAGAGGAAAACTGTGTGAAACTGGAAGTAGGGGATGGATCTTTCTCAGGAGATGGAGGAAGGGCAGGAGGGAGAAATGAGATGAAACCTAAGAATTAAGATGTGTTATATACAACTCCACACAAGGAATGTACACATTATATACTACAATCACATACTAATATATAATAATTTGGAAAAAGTGGAAAATTAAAAGAGATCAACACTGCCAATTTTCTTACTACCATTAGAATAAACAGCTATATTTTCCAAATTTAGCTAATGTGCATTCAATATAAAAATAACGAAAGGTCTTTGTCTCCTATAATGTACACATTTCAGTATAAACTTAATATTTGTCATAAACCAGAAAAAATGGAATTCTAGAGTACCTCTAAGAAGTAGAAACTCACCTTTTCAAAGTCATGAATGATTGCTGCAGGATCACTATCAGAGAAAGTAGAAACAGGAACATCAATGATGACAATGTTGTCATCCTCACGAATGTCAGCCTTCTCCGTCACAGGTAGGAAGTAAGGCTCTCCATCAGGAAAGGAATTTACAGGGTCCTCAGAATCCAAGAAGTACATCTCTCCATGGTAAATGGTGCTCTGAAAGACAAAAGCAAAAGTCCAAACCTTTGAATATCAGTACCATGGCATTTGAATAATTTCATAAACTCTATTATGAGATCTGTTGATTACAATTTTCACTACAAAGAAAAATCAATCTTATAGACTGAAACACAGTTGCAAAACTTTCCCTAAATCTGCATTTCTCTGATGACTACTTATTTATTTATTTATTTATTTATTTATTTATTTATTTATTTTTGGCAGAACCGGGGATTGAACTCAGACCCTTGCACTTGCCAGGGAAGTGCTTATTCTACTGCCATCTCCGCGGCCCCTGCAGTATTATTTAAATTGACACTAAATGTATAACAAGAACTCATTCAAAAGGCTGGGGACATAGCTCAGTGGCATAAAAGCCTGCCTGGTGAACACAAGGTCCAGAGTTCAATCCTCAGTACTGAAAAAACAAAATAACAACTCAAAAGTATAATAATTATAATTATTCTTACCTTGGGCATGAAGTATTTGTAAATGCAAGCTCCACCAACAGTAAGTCCTGACAAGATGAATGAAAGGCCTAAGAGAGTAAGCATACATCTCCCAGAGGTGCACTCCTTTCTTTGGGCAGCAGCTTGCAGTGCCTGTTTATTGAAAACAAAAGCAAAAAAACAAAACCAGATTGTACTTCTTGCCAGTACCTATTTCATAAAGGTTTTTTTTTTCCCTTGAAACCCAGGATATTTAAAGACTGCAAGTCACCCTAGTCTAAAATCATTTCAATAAAATTTCTGATATCTAACAGAAACAATATTTCTAATTATATTAACCTTCCTTTAGCATTTCCAAACTCTAATATGCATTCTTAGAATCACATTAAAGTAGGCATTCAAAACAAGTAGGCATTCATTTATATAATGTTATATTCTCTTTTTATTTCAAATACACTTAACATGATATCCGGACCAGGGAGATGGCTCAGTAGAATAAGCGCTTCTCTGGCAAGCGCAAGGGCCTGAGTTCAAGCCCTGGTTCCTCAAAAAAACATGTTATCACTGTCAGGTCCTGCCCATTAGCTCAGCTGTTTGAAGTGACCGCTTAAACAAAGCAATCAGGATGCTGTGGTTCGATCCCCAGACCCTCAAGCCTTATCAGACCTGCCCTCAAGGCATACTGAGACAGAAAAAAAAATCTGAACTTCTGGCTGTGGACATAGCTCAGTGGCATAAGCGCCTCCCTGTCAAGTGTAAGGTCCTGAGTTCAATCTGCAGTACCGCAAAAAAAAAAAGTGATATCACTGTCAATAAATTTTTAAATATAGTATTGTTGACTACCATATAGGCACAACATATTAGAGCTACAGAGCTAAAACTGTGTTTTAAAAATAATTTGAAATAATTAACTTTTAGACTTTTACAGTAATATATTCACCAACTTTTTGAAATATAATTATTCTTCATTACTATTTTTAAAAGATTTTTTAATTATTTTTTGTAAATTTGCTTGCCAAATCAAAGGATAATTAAAACATTTTGAATTACTAACTAATTTTCAAAAGGTTATTTTTTTCAAAATTAACCTTTAAAAGAAAGGAGTTCTATAAGGGGGAGTCTATACTATTTCTCCTTATTTTATTTTATTTTATTTTATTTTTATTTCTCCTTATTTTAGAAATTAAAATATTTGGGGGCCTGCCCCTTAGCTCAGTTCTTTAAGTGGCTGCTTCAACAAAGCAGTCAGGCTCAGGTTGCTGTGGTTCGATCCCCACAACACAAGCCAGCCAGTCATGCCTTGAAGGCATTCGGAAAAAAAAAAAAAAAAAAAAAAAGAAAGAAAGAAAGAAAGAAAGAAATTAAAATATTGAAGTCAGAAATGTACATCTTAATATCACCCAGTATTTTATGTCTGTGTTTTGCATGAAAGGAAGTGTTTTAGAAGATCTGGGCTAAACACTAGATTTTATTTTTGATATAATTTAATTTTCTATTTTATGGAAAAAAGTAAAAAAAAATTCATAACAAAATAGAATAACAATAGCAAACATACTGCATGTTGTTATCTTTAAAGTAGTTGCTCGGGGCTGGGAGATGGCTCAGTGGAATAAGTGCTTCCCTGGGAAGCGCTAGGGCCTGAGTTCAATCCCTGGTTCCACCAAAAAAAATAAATAAATAAAGTAGTTGCTCAAGGTATAAAATATGGGCATAAAAATGTCTCCAACAAATATTAGCACAAACCTTTTTTCATGAACTAGGAGAAACTAGTAGTATATGTGACTTGCATTTTAACTTTCCTTACTATCTTTTCTCCTTTCCCCCATCCTAGTTCCTGTTTTCTTTGAACAATTTCTTCCCATTTCACAAATATTTATTGTACATTTCAGACTTTACTCTTTCAGCTTTTCATACCAGGTCAACAATACGTTTACACAAGTAAATCTGATTTATTTCACTTATGAATATGGTCTCAAGTTGAATCCATTTACCTAGAAAAATATAGTTTATCTTTCTTTATAACTAACTGGGGGTTGGGGAGATGGCTCAGTGCAATGAGCACTTCCCTGGCAAGTGCAAGGGCCTGAGTTCAATTCCTGGTTCTGAAAAAAAATTAAACAAAAATAAATGGTATTCCATTGTATAAAAATAACACATTTTTTAAATCCGTTCCTCAGTTAATGAGCATTTGGGTTATTTTAAACATTTAAGGATTAGAAAGTATGCTTCTATAAACGTGGACACACTTATACTGTAAACACTAGATATTAAAGTACACAACTCTACACACAAAATCTTCTTGTGTAATGGTGGTTTTAAAATACTACTAAAGGGGGCCTGGCCCTAGCTCAGTTCTTTAAGTGGCTGCTTCCACCAAGCTGTCAGCCTCAGGTTGCTGTAGTTTGATCCCCACAACACTCCAGCCAGCCAAACAAGCCCTGAGGGATTCAGAGCCAAAAAAAAAAAATCCTTAAAGGGGCCAGGAAGATGGCTCAGTGGAATAAGCGCTTCCCTGGCAAGTGCAAGGGCCCGAGTTCAATCCCAGATTTCGCAAAAATAAATAAATAAATAAATAAAATAAAATACTACTAAATAATTTGCTTAGGAATTCAAATAAGGATAATCCAAAACAACAACAAAAATGTAACTGCTTAACTGTACCTCTCCCACCACAGTGATAACTGGAGGGCTTGTTTTTATGTTTGTCAATATATTCCTCACCAGCATTAATACTCAGTGGCAGACTAAGTAAATCAGCAAATGTGGACCCTGATATTCAAGGAGAAAAACCATTGAAATAAGTATGTGAATAGAACTGTTTTACTTCTTCTACAATTGACTTTCATGACAATTACTCTGTGCAATTTTGACAAACATCAAGGTGATTTGATGAAAATAATTGTATGAATTTGAAATTAAAATAGAAAAGGTATGGACAGGAGGAGATTATTATTTTCTAAAGATTGTTCTTTAAAGCTGAAAATTTGATATTGTTTCGCATCTAAGCTTATTTCAGTTAACTCCCTCCATTGATACTCAATCTTTTTTTTTTTTTTTAGGTGGAACTGGGCATTGAACTCAGGCCCTTAAAAGTGCTTATTCTACTGAACCATCTCCCCGGCCTATACTCTAAATCTTAAATTTCTTTGAGCTCCAATAATTTTGCGCTTTTAATTATTTTTATTAAAATCTAATTAAATTAGGGGCCAGTGCTTATTCTCCCTCAGTAGAATAAGCACTTGCCAAGGGCCGGAGTTCAATCCCCAGTGCCACAAAAAAAAAAAAATTGATAGAAAATTTACTTTAATCTAGAGCTGGAGGCTTATACACTGTATATTATTTATTTATTTATTGGTGGAACCAGGGATTGAACTCAGGCCCTTGCACTTGCCAGGGAAGCGCTTATTCTACTGAGCCATCTCCCTGGCCCCTTCCTACACTGTATTTTAGATAATTACCTATATTTAGAAAGTACAGCGGCGGCTTGCTCTATCACAAAATGCCTTAATTTGAAATTCTCTAAGAAGCGAATTGCTTCTTACTACTGTGACCTTGACAGAATTTACATTATGGTTTCATTTGCTTTCTAATAAAGTTATTATTAAGCAGGGCCTACGCGTGAAAGTCTCAATTTCAAAAAAAAAAATCAGTAATAGGAATAAAGGGGTTTTTTGTTTGCTTGTTTTCATTTAAATTTGGTGAAGTTCAGGTGAAGTTATTGAGGCCATCATTTATCGTAGCTCTGCGCAGTGTTTCAAAGTCATTGTACACAGCCTCCAACATAATATTCTGTTATGTTCAACCTATGATGATCTTCTGATCAATATAATCACACTGTAGTGTGTGAAGCACTTTTGTCAGTGTCCTACAGTGTTCAGCTTTGAATGCAGAAATTCCTCCCAAATACAAAAAGGAAAGATTACTGAAGTAGACATGTTTTGAGGGGGGGAGTTATTCATTTATTTATTTATTTATTTTTGCTCCAAATGCTTTCAGGGCAGGTTTGGCTGGCTTGAGTTGTGGGGATTGAAGGACAGCCAACCTGAGCCTGAATTCTGTGTTGAAGCAGCCACTTGAAGAACTGAGCTAAGGGGCAGGCCCCCTGTTTTTTTATTTTTATTCGACATTACACCCACAGGCCTGGCTGAAGTATTACTTCTATATTAACTGAATCTATCTATAGTCATGGAGAAAAAAGGGATTACTCGTTGGCTACATTTAACTGTTGTCATCTAACAGGCCTCCCAAAAATCTGGCTGTCTTTGACGAAATTAGTAGGACAGCCACATACACTACCTTCTCTAATCAAAATTTCAATAGAGCAAAGTGGTTACACTGTTGAGTTTTAAAGTGTTTAGTGCATACCCTGTCATCTTTGGGGGCTGGGGCGTTGGCTCAGTAGAATAAGCGCTTGCCTGGCAAGCTCAAGGGCCTGAGTTCAATCCCCGGTTCCGCAAGAAAAAAAAAAAAAGAAAGAAAAAAGAAAAAGTGTTTAGTGCATAAAAGCTAGGTTGATTGCAAAGTTAAATACTGAATGTTTTCTTTCTTTTTCTTTTCTTCTTTTTTTTTTTTTTTTGCGGAACCAGGGATTGAACTCAGGCCCTTATTCAAGGGCTTATTCTGCTGAGCCATCTCCCTGGCCCCTTATTGATAGTTCTGCACAAACATTTTAGTATCGCAATTAAGTACATGATCAAATTTTATTACAAGGATTCTCATTTCATTTAGTTCATTCCTTCATTAATACTCTAAATGTCTGTACTTTTCAAATCTTCATACTGAACACAGTTAAGACTTTCTGAAGAGAACAATTTAGAAGAGATCTACGAGCTTCAGAGCTTTCCAGAGTTAACAGAATCAAAAGAAAATATGGTTGTTTTTTAAAATTGTTATTTTACTGAAAATAATGAGCAGTTTGCAAATGCTGCAAACATGGTAGGCACTTAAATAAAATAAAAAATTAGACTAAGTAAATACATTTTATTATTTTCTGAGGGGTAACTTTCCCCAGTTCTTGGCAAACCGGGTAGCTGAAATTGCAATATCAGGCATGCTTCAGAATTGTATGAGTGAAGTAGTACATTGCTCAACAAGAAATAGCTAAAGGAAAAGAAATTTAAAAAGTATCCCGAAAAAAAAAGTATCCCGAAATTTATTTTTACATAATAGCGTTTGCTTACGGAAATGCCACTCTAAAAGTACTCAAGAATTTTGCAGTAGGAGGGCACGGGGAATGCTCAAAAGCTGAATTAATACCAAACAAAACTTTGACAGCTCCTCCACTTAATGCTTAACACTAATTATCAGACAAACACTTAAGTGTGAAAACGCACACCTGCCCCAATCAATATAGCGGGTAATTAAACTTGACCTTTACCCCTTCTCCACCTTCCCAAACAATGACCCTAGAAAATCTTAGATTCATCTACCCATGTGAAAGTAAGGAAAGCAAATTTAAGTCTCTTGATTCTGTTCACATCTCGTGTATGTTCAGCCAATGTATGTTCAGCTGTAGATTCCTGGAGCTCGGGACGGCACAGCGTGCCTCTGGATACCCAAGTCCTTAGCCATTCTTCAGGTAAAGATCATATCAAGTTCCAGGCGTTCTCCTCAAGATTCCTTCCAACTTCCTTCAGGAATTAGCGGTAGGAGTTGGAATTCACAGAAAATGAAGGGACGTGTATATATGCAGAGGAGGACGGGGTGTGGTAGGCAGAATGTGTCGAGAGCACACAGAACTAGGGAGACAAAGCAAACCCAAGGGACCATCTAAAGTGTGCTCAACCCTGGAGTCAAAGGCCTCTGAGCAGCCTGCTATTTGTGGCCTGCCACATGTCCCTTTTTCTCCCTTCACGCACCCCAGTTTCAAATCCTAGCAGGCAGTAAAAGGCACACTTGGGATAAATACCTTGCGGGTCAGGATCTGCGCTCTGACTGTGCGACTCAGGAGGGCCTCCACGTCTCGCTGCGCCGCCTCCTTTTGCACCCCTGTGAGTGTCTTGAAAGTGACCTTCACCATGGTGTACCTTCTGGCTATGCAGTAAGCGTGGCTGGATTCAGTGTTCCAGGCTGCAGGTTGTAGGTGACCACACTTGCCCAAACACTCCCTAGATTCTCACCAGTCTGCCTAATGCGACTGTAAACACAGGTCTGGAGCTACTTATAGAGCACTCCCAAGCTTGGTGGGAGACTGTGGTGGGAGGGCCTAGGGAGGTGCTGGCAGGGGAGGGGCCCTCCAGTTCCTCTGCGGAAGGGCTGTGGGAAGGTAAATTGGCAGTGAAGAAGAGGAGGGGAAGTGGAGTCCTTGGCCCCTGGGGCTAAATGTTTCTCCCCAGCACCCCAGGCACTCTTCCACCTAGCTCTGCGCCCTCAGATAAGAACAAGCCGGAAAGGAAGCCTGTGGTGTATGATCTTTTTCTGCCTTCACCCAGATCACAATAGCTCTTGCCTCTTACTCTGTTTTCCCAAACTTGTGCTTGGTCCCCTGCAGGGCCCAGATCCTAATTTAGCGCCAACCCCCAAATCCTTAGCTCTGCGTCCACAACCACCTGGGCCCCGAAAGCATCTTTCTGTCAGTGTCCTGAACCTTTATAATAATACTTTCTCTTTAAAGAGAACCTAGAAAATGATTTATGGTTACTTGGCTTATTCTTGCAAGAAAAGTTAATTTTTCCTTATTGCATTTGTAAAATTTTAATTTTCCAGCCCAAACCAATGTTAAATCAGAAAGAGGAGGGGCCGGGGAGATGCGAATAAGCGCTTCCCTGGCAAGCGCAAGGGCCAGAGTTCAATCCCCGGTTCCACAAAAAGAAAAAGAAAAAAAAAAAAAAAGAGGAGGCTCCATCTCCTCAACTTGCAAAAGGGACGTGAGATTACAGAAGGTGGAAATCTCAAAATGAAGCAATAAAGTAATACAGATTCTTGCCCTTTACCGGTCAGGGAAACTCGAGGAATGTCTTTGCCAACTGCCTGTTTCTTTTAAGCTACTATGAAGCCCATAGGGAAAAACAAAGGTGTGTGTGTGTGTGTGTGTGTGTGTGTGTGTGTGTGTGTGGTATGCATGCATGAGTATGTGTACCTATTTATTTAGGATGGCGGGGGATGCAAATTTTAATCTGAGGTTAACGAAGCTCTGGGGTGGAAAACAAAACAAAAGCAATTCCAGAACCTCAAAATGGCAGAGTAAAAAATCATTGGAAAATTTACATGCACATCTAGGGTAAACTAGATATTTTTCTGCAGTTAGTCCTTCCAGATTAATGATACTGATAGAGAACCTCATGGCGTGAAATTTAGGCTGTAGAGGTTGGTGATTGTGTGTTGTCATACAAAGTTTATAAATAGTCCTGCTGAAGAAGACAGAGAGGGTTGTGTGAAGACAATACTAGAAAAAAAAAAACTTCCAACAAAACAAAACAGAATTTTCAAGAGAATTCCCCACCTACTTATCTACTTAGCTAAAAAGGCTTGACTATGGCAGAAATGCCTATTCGTTTGCACAGGAAATTCCAACTTGATTTCCTTAACTCTGAAACCTTTTCCTGTCTCTCCTGTGGGAGGCGTGTGAACGCTGCCTTAATTATCTTGGATAGGGCACAGATGGGAAGGTGGATAGAGGTGAACCACGCTGATCATGTGCTTACACAGAACCAGAACCTTATAAAGTAGATTATTTGAGTTTGTTTAGAAACATTAGCATTGCATGTTCCTTCACTTATTCTTGCTTAAGTCTGACTACTATAAATTCATATTTGGGAGCGAGGGAGATAGCTCAGTAGAAGAAGCGCTTGCCTGGCAAGCGCAAAGGACTGAGTTCAATCCCCAGTTCCACAAAAAAAAAGCCAAAAAAAATTTCATATTTGTCAGGCAAACTTCAGTGTAGGTAGAAGGAATCTCATGTTCCTAGCATGCTTTTTTTTTCCTACAAAAAAGGAACTTAGTAGTA